CCAATCCCAAACCGTTTGAACTCGATACTATTAAAGCTCGACTCGAAGTTTAGACTCGAACTCGAACTCGAGCTCGGCTTGAACTCGAACCTCAAAACTCGAACTCGACTCGAACTCGAGTTTAGAAGTTCGAGTTCGAGTCGAGTTCGAGCTCACTAATTCATCCAAATCCAAATACTATTGAGCAATAAGATTGCAGGAAAGTTTATCTCTCTCATTGTTGGCACAAAACTAATTCTCATTGCTGTGACCATAAGTAGAGGAAACACTAATTCCTGGTCAGTTTGTCTGCACTCTGATTGAGATTACCTATAGTAACTATCTGAAGGCTTTCCTAGGATACCAAAGGTACTATTTTGGGGTCTATCTGTGGTTACCAAAGGTAACTATCTGAGATCGATGCCAGAGTACAAAAAGTACTATTTTTGGACCAATTGTGGGATATCAAAAGCAATATTCTGAGAACTAGTTGAGGTGCCTGAGATAGCTATTTGAAGTCTATCTGGGAGTATGAAAGGTAATATCTTGGGCCTATCTAAAGGTATCCAGGTTAACTATCTGAGGACTATGCCAGAGCATCAAAGGTCCTATTGTGGGACGCATCTAGGAGAAATAAAGGTACAATTCTCGGACTCATTCGACGATGCTAAAAGCAGTATTCTGCGCGCTATCTCATAGTATTAAAGGTAATATTCTGAGGTTTATCTGAAGGTATTAAAGGTACAATTGCGGAGTCTAACTTAAGTACTAAAATAATATTCTGAGGACTAGCGGAAGTACCTAAGGTGATATTCTGGGGTCTATCCTAGGGTACCAAAAATAATATTCTGAAATCTCACTGGGAGTATCTTAGGTAACTGTGTGAGGGCTACGTCAGGCTGTGAAAGCTACTAATATTCGGTGGCCTCTCTGGACGCACTAAAGATAATATTCTGAGACTTATGTGGGAACACCGAAGTTAACTGTTTGGGACTGATTAGACCAACAGAAGATAGCTCTGATAGCACTCACCTGCAGTCTTGAATGTACGTCTGCCAAAGTACCCTATGATACCAAAACTTAGGTTTTGTGAAGATATCTAGAAGCACTACAGGTAACTCAAAGAACGCTAGTTGCTACTACAAAGACTGACTTTTCAGAACTATCCTGTTTTAAATAAGTAACTGGCCGAAAAGCGTTTCATCGGTAACTCATGTGCTCCGCTCGTTACTCGCAAGGTTAGATGTTTTATCTGGCAACTGGCCTAAAAGTTTTCTCTAACATGGCTCGATAGTCTTCTGAGAGTTTCTAGTGATGTTCCAGCACGCGATGAAAAGAGTTACTTTCAGTACACCCAGCTAAGCCCTACTTTCCTACCTCTGCTACCTAGGGAGATGCCCCAGAAAGTTATGATTGATACCATCAGATAGGCCCAAGAATAGTACCTTTGGTACGTTGAATAGCCCTCAAGTAGTTATCTTATGCGCTGTCGATTAGGTCCCAGAATATTGCTTTTGGTACTGCTAGATTGATCCGAGAATATGACTTTGCCTACTCCAAGAGAGGCTCCGAATATGCCTATGATACGATGACGTGGCTCCCAGATAGTTACCCCACGTGACCTCAGATGCGACCCCAACATATTGCCGTTGATACTTTCAAATAAGTCCTACCGTAGTGCCTTTGGTACCCCTCTTCTCTCGAGAGGCGGCAGAATATTACCTTTCGTACTTCTAGATAGCATTCAAATAGTTATCTCAGGCACCCCCAACTAGTTCTCAGAATATTGCTTTTGACACCTCACAATTTGTCTCAAATAGTACTTTTGGTACTCTGGCATCGATCTCAGATACTTACCTTTGGTAACCACAGATAAGCTCCAAAAAGTACCTTTGGCACCCTAGGATAGTCTTCAGAGAGTTACCATAGGTAACCTCAGATAGTTACCTTAGCGGCCTCCAGATAGATCTCAGATAGTTACTGTTACAACTAGAGATGTTATATTCTGCTTACTACTTAATACTAAGTGGAATATGACAGCTCTGGTCGGGAGTGTCTGAGGCAATGAAGGCCAGATCCAAATTCTCCACACCGAATTACTCTCAAGAAACTGTTTTCCTAAAAACTCGATTTTTATTGGTTTTTACTCTCCCTGCACTCCCACCCCCTCCCATTATGGGTTGTCTGGACGGATGGAGCTCACGAGGGAACATTCCCAATTGTCACATCGCTTTTGAGTCGAGCGTATGGACATTATGTAGGCCCTAATGACCTATGAATGTTCTGAAAAAAGTTCGTGCTGCTAGCTTCTTACTGCTGAGATACAGCATTTTTACTGTATGTTTAAGGAAAAAGCCGTGGTCCCCCTCAGGAACATCAGGAAAAGTGACTTCTGAGTTTCCACCTGAAACTTTGTATATAGACAGGTCTCAATGAGAATAGTTTATTGTGAAGGTTTCAGATTTTTTGGTTGCTCCTAGTCTAAGATAAGAACATCGGATCTGCTGGTGTATATGAACAATTTTACGATAGCTATATCTTAGGATAGGAACAGCGAAAAGAGCTGAAACTTTCACAATAAAGTATTCTCATTGAGGCCTATATCTACGCAAAGTTTCAAGACGAAATTCGAAATTCAGTTTTCCGATGTTCCTGAGGGGGACCACGGCTTTTTTTTTCTTAAACATACAGTAAAAACGCTGTATCTCGGCAATAGTAAGCTAGCAGCACGAACTTTTCTCAGAGAATTCATAGATCGTGAGG